TTTTTAATTTTTGCTCATTAATCATAATTCATACATTTAAAGCATGAGGAATTTTTTTAAGGTGATTTCATCTTCCCAGTAACTAAGTTTGATTGTTGAAAAAGATTTGTTTCACCTTGTTGCCATAGAATTGTGTCACATTGTTACCATAGAACTGTCCACTAGTCAATGGTAATAATAATTACAATGTTAAATGGTATGGTATGGTATGGTATATTTTATTTATTCACGGTTAAAAACATAATACAATTGCGCCCGCATTCAGCAAAAGCTGTTTTTCAGCAGGGCCGTGATTACATATAACAGAAAATAAAACAATGAAAATACAATTTACAAACAAATATGCAAGTTATAATAAGTGAACATATTTACAGAAATTTAAGTACAAAATAGAATCATAGTGATAAAGTGAGGGGGGAAAAAAAAAAAAAAAAAATTATCTACGAGATGGAAGAAGTGAGCAAATATCTTGAATTTTACTAATCTCAATGTTGTAAGATTTAAAAACATTTATAATTCTGATATCGTTGGGTAGGGTATTAAAAAGTTTTGATGCAAGATATAACGGACTATGTTGAATAAAATTTGTGTGAGGTCTTGGAAGGGGGATTTGTGAGTTTGCGTAACGGAACTTATAGCTTACATTAGTATTAAATTGGATCAATAACAACTTAAATATAGTAACTAAAGCCTGTTTGACCCAGTATTCTTTTAGCATGTCAATTTCAAGGGTTTTATAAAGAATTTCAGTGTGATATCTACTATTCACTCCAAGTACAGATCTCAAACACCTATTTTGTAGAGTTTGAAGTTGTTTTAACCGAGTTTCTCTACCGTTCATCCAAATCGTGCTGCAATAAGCGAAATGAGGCTGAATTAAGGTTTTGTATAGTATTAATGCTATCTTTTCATCTGTGAATTGTCTCATTCGCTTTAGAACAAAATACGTCTTTAAAACCTTTTTCTTTACATGGTCTATTTGTGGGTTCCATGAGAAATTGCAATCAAGCAAAATCCCAAGATATTTGCATTCCATTACTCTAAGTAATTTTTTGTTATTCAGACGAATATCAATATTACAGAAACGACTCAAATGCTTAGAAAAGTAGAATTAAGCACTACAAATGCAGGCATTATTATTATTATTATCATAATTACCCAAGTATGGCGATATTGCGATATTGCTATCAGACATCATGCAGACATACATGTACATGTGCACAGTAAATGTCTGATTAAAGCAGAACAATGCACAATCATTGGATTTTGTCCAATTTTTCCAAAGAAGTGTCTGGCCATATCAAAGATCATAAAATCATACATTTCATCAATTAGTGGGTATCCATTGTGTTTTCTTTTCACAAAAGATTAAAGTTTACAGATCCTGTAGTGCTTTGGCTTCATGTACATGTACATTGCGGAGTGAGCCCCCCCCCCCCCCTCCCCCCAAAAAGGAATATATTCATGTATTGTAATTTTTATCCTTGTAAGCATTTCATTGTTTTTTATACCGTAATTAACAGTGTATAAACCGCCCTCGTGTATTAATCGCACCCCTCTTTTTCGCCCTAAAAAAAAAAAAAAAAAATTAAAAATTGCCAAGTCTGTCAGCAGCAAGCCAGGTCTGTGTCAAAAAACCCACACGAGAAGGCCTTTCATTTAACTGCGAGGTACAGCTGAATGTAAAAGATCATTAATGTAAATTTAAAAAACAGTACAGGACTTAGGATAGAACCTTGTGGAACGCCGTGTAATAGAAGAAAATTGGAGGAATTATGATTATAAACTACATATTGAGATCTATCAGATAGATTACTTTCAAACCAAGATGACAGACAAATTTGAGTGTTGTTTTAGTTTCCGAGTGATGAGTCAACACACCGATTACTGAGCTAGGAGACATTGCCAGGCATAGCGCCAGGTGGAGGGGCATAAATCGAAACTTAAAATTTTTTTGTTTTTTTTTGTTGTTGGTGTACCGTGTATAAACCACACCCCCGACTTTGAATTTTTTTCGCCGGCAAAAAAGGTGCGGTTTATTCACCATTAATTACGGTATATGTTTCATCTTCCTTTCATGATCTTGTTATATATCTACATTGTAAAGCGCATTGAAATGGCAACAGACATGAAATGCGCTATAAAAGGACTTAGTATTATTATTACTATTATTATTATTACAGAGATGCCAACCCTATAGGATGGCTGTCAGTAACATTTATATTTGTCCGTAACAAATGGGGGTCTTTCCGGAACGCAAGACACCGCAGTATAATTTTCGCGCAAAACATACACAAACACCCAATCAGTCTTACTGCATTTCGAGCCTACCATTTACCAAAATAAAGATGTGCATAAAAATCTGTTTCCAGTCAAAGGATCTCCTCCTTGGGTACTCGCTCTTTTGAGTGAATCCATGATAATATTCAGGAAGTAAACACCTCGTTCAAGCGTCGAATGGCAAATTCGAATCCACAGTCAAATGGCAGAACTCGTATCCTACACACGTACACTCACGATCACCAGTACCACAGACACACCAGCCCAGGCCGCTAGGCCCGGGATTCATGAACAACAACACACCGTATACCGCACTTGCAATGCGCTCGCTGAATCACCGAAGTCTTCGCTACTAGCATGTAGCATACTAGTATCAAAACAGTAATAACGGAGGCCCTGCTGTTTCGGAATTAAACAAGATGGCGGCCGAAGGACCATGTGCGCGCAAGTGCCTATCCAGTGTAGTCAAATTCAATGAACTTATGAGTAAATGCATGCAACATGCAGCCCTGTGTACGGAGGCTATGTGATAAGGCGGCATTTGCTATAATGTACTTTTATTTATCGTTTCCCCGTAACCTTTTGATTGTTTACCGTAACGCCGTAACAAATACGGCGAAACCGTAACGGTTGGCATCTCTGTTATTATGTGTACATACACATTCACATACATGTAGAAGCCCCCTTTCAATGTTCGTTGCCTCAATGCTTATAAATGTATGACCCATAGAGTATTGAGAGAGATAGTTGTGACATGCGCACGCATACACACTCAAGGTTTGATTCATGGAGATTAAATGTGGGAGGGAACTACTTGTCACAACTATCTCATTCAATACTCTATGGTTTGACCTAACCGTGATAGACATGTTTCCCTGCAACAGACGACCTGATATTTCTGTAAGTTACACCAAATTTACATCAATTTTATAACCAATGTACAGGGAGGCGTACAAAACATAGCAATATGTGGTCCATAGGAATTTGCAAATAAACCTCAATTTGTGCACAAAAAAACTGGTAAAACTTTGAAAATTCTACATAAACCACTAGTAAATGAGCACATTGACATGCACGCTAGCATGTCATAATACAAACATCATATATCAGTATTCAAGTGAATCAATCTTCTGCTGTTTGCAAGCCTCTAACTAGCCTCCTTGAAATTCGTAAATAGATTAGACAAAGAAAATTGTTTCTGCATCAACAGGAGAGCGCCTCTGGATTCTAACGATCAGTTTGAGATTAGAAAAAGGTTTTTATTTCAATCCCCTATCATCATCTCTCACTAGTTCAGGATGAAATACATAGATGAGAGAGAGAGAGAGAGAGAGAGAGAGAGAGAGAGACAAAAGAAGAGAGAAAAATGTCAGAAAACCACTTATGACCACATGTCCAAAAGGCATTTCTAAGATTCCTGTCTCAATTTTTCTAATGAGTTCCTTGAGGCATTGGCTTCATTGCATGCAACAAAAACGATATCCTTCAAAGAACAGTAGGTGCTAGCTGCGAGTAAGCCTCTGTAAAATTCCCATGATTTTGTTATTATAAGCTTGAAAAGATTCACCTATACAATGTTTGTTTCATTTCCTTCATGAGATCAGTGCAAGCTTCAAATTTCAGGGTCCGTTTCATCTTCTTTTTGAGGAATCTATCATTAAATTGGATTCTCATGATTTCCTTGTAAAAGACATTAATACGCAGACACAAACAGTAAGTAGTTATAACAGCAAGAAAGAAAATATGTTGTTTTGAATTTTTCAACTCTGTACAGTATTTTTATCTATCGTTTGTTCCAAATCCTTAGCCTAAAAATATGTTTTTGTCTATTTGCCAATGTTTCCATAAATAAATAGAAAAATAGTCTAGTTTTCTTGGAAATCCCCTAAAAATAAAGAAAAAAAATAAAGAAAAAAAAGCAACAAAAAATATATTTTTCGCAAAGTAGTTTAGTTTTCTGGGAAATACCTCAAAAATAAAGAGAAAATAGCAACAAAATATATTTTTCGCATGGAAGGATAACCAGGTAAATATGGGAATGGAAAAAATATGTCGCATACTCTGAAGATGGCAAGCTGAGTATCAACTAATCAAATCTCAATGAACTATATGTTTAATTGTCTTAATTTTTGTTGTATCTTGGTCCCTTTTACAGAGATTAATGTGAGGTCATTACTTCAACATTTGTTTTACTCATAGAAGATACTGATGTATCAATACAACTCTAGGGTAAAAATGCAGCCTTGATGATGCGTGTAGGACTATAGCCACTTGTCTACAGCCAGAAAAGCATAAATTATGGAGAGAAAAAAATTCAAATCTTTTGAGCCAATGCACTTCTGACTCTCAGCAAGAGAAGTGTTGTCTTATCTTTCCTATACAGAGGCCTGATTTTTCCTTTAAACTAAAAGATGGATTCCAGAAAATGTATAAAAACTACAATGTACTGTATCCCGCCCCCCCCCCCCCCCCACCAACAAAACAAACAAACAACACAAAGTGTTGTAATGAAAACTTTTACTTAGGCAAAGATGGCAGTCACTTTTTTCACCAATCCTTAGGTCAGGTGTGAATTCTTATCTTCTGTATCTTCTTAATCTTCCCCTTAAACATGCCAGCACCACAAACTAAAAAACAAAAATTGTTGGTTGCCAACCCCCCCCCCCCCCACACACACACACACAAACATACACAAAATGAGGTGAAATAAGGGTAGATACCTTTGGACCATGATGGCAGGCACTTTGAGCATCGATCCTTCATCGTCTTTATCTTCCCCGTCCTCATCCCTGGCTTCCTCTGGCGTCTCAAAGTCATCTTCCAAGCCATTCCTGCTCAGGTCCAGGGGTTGATCTGTCTTCTTTCCTGGCTGCACTGCAGATAAAGGTACTGTAGAGGTGATGGGAAAATTAAAAAGGGAAAATTAAAAACAATGACAATTTAACCTACATGTAAGATTTAATCATTTGAAAGACTATTCTGAAAGATGTCTTCCCAGACCAATCTTGCTTAAGTCTACGGGTCAATCTATCTTCTTCATTGGCTTGCACTGCAGATAAAAGTACTGTAGAGGTAATAAGGGAAAAAAAGGGAAAATTTAAAGCCTATCTGCACTAGTTTAGCCAAGAGGGAACAGACCTCTCTGCATGGTCACCGACAGGAAGTTATCTCATCAAATCAGCTCTAAATTAACATAAGAAAAAAGGGACCATGGGGGACCAACTGTCACCGATTAGGCATTGGTTGCTATATAGAGGGCACAAGTAGCTATATGTAGTGCAGTGAGGATTTAAGATGTAATCATTTGAAAGACTTTTCTGAAAGATGCTTTCCCAGACCAATCCTGTTGAAGTCTACAGGCCAATCTGCCTTCTTCATTGGCTTGCACTACAGATAAGGGTATGTGGAGGTAATGGGAAATAATTAGGGAAACATGCAAAGCATTTGAAAATGAAGTCATAGAATTAATTTGGAAGAGTTTTAGTTATATGACCTGTCGTCTAAGCTTGCTGCAATGCGGATATGGGTACTGTGGAGGCAACAGAAAAATTAAGGGGGAAAAATAATTTACAGATAATCTACATGCTTTTAATTGCTTTTCCAGACAATTCTTCTGTAGATCAAGGTTATGCTTTCATCTTAGCTGGCTGCACAATGGAAAAGGGTACAGTGGAGGTAATGTGATCATAAGGAAGGAAAATGTCAATCATTTTCAAATGAATTTGGAGAAATATAATTTGAAAGACTTTTGACTGCCTTTCTAAACAGCTCTCGCTTAGCTTCACGGGCTGAACTACGTGTATCTTCTTCAATGGCTGCACTACAGACGAGAGTACTGAAGAGATAATGCAAAAATAAATTGGAAAACTCAAATCGACTCTCAATATAAAACATTTTAAAACATACAAGAGAAAAATCTCATGACACTTTCCCCTATCCACTTATATATTGTATCCTTGAGAACAAATTGCAGCAGACATTGAATTGAGATTTGTTTTTTCTTTTTTCTTACTTGATTTCAGCGGTAATTTTGTGAAACTGAAATGAAAACATAAATAGCTCACCGACTATTTTTATCTTTTTATTTTGCACACGTCCCTACCGCTAACACATTTGTCTCCCCTGTAATATATTTTGTAGTGTGTAATTTTCCATCTGAAGAAATATCTAGAGAGAAGCTGTGAGAGGGATTAAGTCACACTTATTTTTGAGTATATGTCTTCTTCAAATAATAATAAGAGATTTTTTTTTTTTTTAAATAGAAATCTCACTACGAAATTGAATGAATTTCAGCCTCTTATAATAACTGATACTTTTCTTCAGAGAAAAAACAACAATAATAATTTAGAAATCTCAATGAATTTCAGCATATGCTGACTAAATTTTCAAAAAAATACTTGTTACATTGTGGTATTCATTCAATATTTCAAGTATAATTTGAAGATTGACACGGTTCGCATGATTACATAATAATTTTTCAATCAAGTTCAGACATTTTCCCTTATTCTCAATGCAATTGTTAAACAAAAGCTATGTGAAGAATATTTCCATTCTATACCCCGGAAATCTAGAATTCAATTTTTCAATTTCTACCAACGCATCAAATTTCAATTGCATAGATTAACGTGCTGTGGTTGGGCTGGAAGCTAACAAGGAAATATGTGCGGTAGAATGACAACAAAAACATTTAAGACATTTGATATTTCTTCCTCCTAATTCTCATCGAACCTGAATCATTATCCCAACAATGCACTTGTAACTTTATCTTTTCTTGATGTGATGTCCATCCCCCTCCCAACTCACTCTTGAACATTTAAGTCCAGTTTGGACCAGATTTCTTGGCAAACAGACAAATTAAATACCATAAAGGAAGTATCAAATTGTTAAGTCAAATATAAAATACTAAAAACAACTGACATAACCCTTCTTCTCAATTTGTAATAATAGAGTCATTGCCTTTTTGCCAATTATGCCATGTGATGAAGGAAATGTAACTTTTGAAAAATGGAAGATTTCAGTTTTGTTAATGGACCTCAAATTTCTTGTGTCATGATGTAAAATCAACTCAAAAACTTATAACAAAACAGTTCACTCTATGTTCAAATTTATCTATCTATTTATCTATCTATCTATCTGTCTATCTATACATATATCTATTTGTCTGTCTGTCTGTCTGTCTATGAGCTATTCATCTGTCAATGCATCTGTCTTATGTATCTATTAATCTATATCTTTAACCATAAATCCACCTATTGATCTACCAATCAATAATTTCATCTGTGTCCCTAGCTATCTGATCAGAGAACCGATTGAAACTTGCTGTTCCTGTGTACGTGTATTTGTAATTTCAATACTGTTTTCCAGAAGATCAATGTTTTCCAATATTGGTTTCTTTTTATACATTCATATCTGTCTATTTATCTGCCTATATACATGTATATATTCCCCATAGCTTGGAGGCCAAAGAAATGGGCAATAATGTGATAGATCTAGAATTGCTTAAATGATGTTAAATAATAATTGTACATAATTTTGCCAAGAGGGAGATTTGTATGCCATTTAGGCAAATTTATCCATGAATTTGTCAATAGATATGTACATATCCAATATTTTAGAGATTTTTAAAAGCAGCAACTTGTATTTAAACATGTATATCCTGCTTTATGTCTCATGAGAAACAAAACAAGTTACGTGTATGATTCTACACCAGATAATCAAATACTTTAACAGAAAAATGCCTGTCAACGCAACAATTAGAGAACAATCTGTCCAATGCAAACTTTTAAAAGTAAACATTTAACATTTTAAAGGCATTACAGATTTTAAAGGGCACTAAACATATTTGCAAGTTACCGGTATATCTTGGTAAATCGTGATCGATATAGACCTACATATATTCTAGAGATGATGGAAGAAAACAAACTTTAATGGTGTCTTTCAATTTTCATTACAGAAAGGACATGTTGAATTGACAAACTAACTTTGGTCTAAGCTGTGTAGAACTTGTAGTGATATTTCTTTTTGTGGAAAGAATAATATACATATTCTGTCTTTGTTTTCTTGTCACAACATTTTGATTTTATTTTTGACCATGCCATTTAAAACTGTCAATCAAATTTTTACTTTTATTAACGATTAACAATAAACGCTACAGTTACATGTAAAAAGGTGTACACCTGATCTTTTAGCCACATCAAAAGTCGTTGATAGATATCCCTCCGTATATACATGTATGATCTATCAAAACATGAAACGTATACAGACAGACTAAATCACCCTGTTAAATTATGCATGTCACTGCATGTGCAAGCAAAGATTGCCAATGTACACAATGTATTTTCACCAGTGCATTCACAAGACACGTACATGTATATATTGCCATACTGCAATTTGTACAACATTACACACACTTCACCTAACTGGTGACAAAAAATTGAGTACACACATATAATTATCCTGTTACACTACTACTGCTGAAACTGTAAAATTTTGACCGTCAAAGTCGGTGGGGTTCATTGTGCGCCTGCCTGCCTTTACCGTGGTTTTGGACACGGCGGCACACACTCCACGCCGGGCTCGCCTTCAAGCTATTAAAATGCATAGTTGCCAGCTGTCAACCTACACAAAAGCACCATGGGACATTGTACACAAAAAGAAAAGAAATTAAAAAAATGAGAGGAAAGGAGAAAAAAAATTGCATCAAGAGGGTCTTGCAAGCAAGTGCATATTGTCTGCAGTATGGTTGCTATGGTGATGGGGGCAAAGAGTCGCTCTTTTAGGTGGGGAGGGAGAGTAGCGCTCTGCAGCGAGAATAGAGATGGAGTGGAGAAAAGGGGGATAAAAGCTTCGGTGAAAAAGCTCATCTGAGGAATTAACTTTCACAATGCTACTTTCTTATGTCACACATTGTGCATACTGCTATCAAAGGAGCTAGATTTTTTTTAAGAGTACAGTCATTACAGAGAGTTATCAGCATAAATTTGCATTTAGTCTCAATGTATTGGCATACATGTAGACATTTGAAGTTTTATTGCAATACAGAAAAAAAAATACAAGCATTTCCAAAAATGGTAGAGGATGTGATGCCATTGTTGATGCCATTGTTATTTAAATAAAAAGAGGAATGAAATGTCATTTTTTTGCCACACATTTTGAGAAATTCTCCTCTTTTGTTTCATACTGCGATCCCTTTTTATAGTTGTTTTGAAAAACAGTTGTCAGGAGAATGAGAAAGTACTAAATAATCCTGTAAAGTACAATCTAAAAATAATTCTGTAAAAGAAAGCTTTTTTATCAAAAATAAAAATCTAAGGTGTCATATTTGGAAAAGGGATATCCTGTGTCATGAGTTTTCCCTTTTTTGTAGATCTTTGCAGCTGAATTAATTGCTTGATTTACAAACATCCACTGGATTGACTGAAATTAAAGAAATATGGCCAATTGGTAATGGGAATTGCATATTGAAATAACAGAGTATTTTAAACCGTCCTCATGGCATTACTACTGTACATATTCTTTATAACTTTCAACACAGTTTTGACTCTCAAGAGCGCATTGTTCATTTTCAATTTTGAAATTGTGAATCTCTTTTTTCCACTTCTCTTTCTGAACATTCTCCAAGCATCTCTTTATTCAAGGCAAGGCTTGGCTTTTTATGAAATTCTTTACAGATTATATTGGAAATTCTAGAGTACCTTGTGTTGATAGCCCTACATGTGAGAGAGCTGGGATTATACTGAATATCATAAATAAATATTAATTAATAAAGTGAATTAATGTATTTTTCGCAATATTCACTTCTTGGTCATTTATTGGTCACAAAAGACAGAAGTTTATACCTTGCATTTTTAATGCAATTTTTAAGATTTATAGATTATGGAATCATAAATTAATATTGACTGGCCATGAGGGGGTGTGAGGATATTGCTCAAGCATATTCATATTGCCTGAGTTGAAGATGAGGGTAATATGGTTACATGTACATGTACAATATAGTTTTGATTTACCCGAAAAAGGACATCACAGGAAAAAATATAATCTTTAATTTTGTATATCCAATTCACTTTAATCAAGGACAAATTTCAGAATGAGAGATAGTGGGAAATATGCTAATTATGGACCTTGCCCTTTATTCCACCTTTTACAAAAAGCCCATCATTTACTATATTGAACTTGAACATGAACTTGAACATGAACTTTATTATCCAATCATAAACACATATTAACAATAAATAGTTTTATAGTTATATAATAACATAAAAGGGTAAAAGGACCCAGAAAATAGCATGAAAGCTAATCGAGTTGTACCTTTGAACATATCGTCCCTATTTTCACGAAGTGACGGTTGTGAGGAAAATCGTAACGCAGAGTGAATGCAATTTTTTTCACTACCGTCACTTCGTGAAAACAGGGACGATATGATACACAATGCTTGGGTAGAATAAACAAACCAATTTGAAATGTTAGATGTAGTAACGCTAATTACAAACAAAACTATAATACAATTGTATCATTGGCACTTTGGCAGTATTGTAAAGGTAAAATGTGTGCTTGGAGTTTCGCTATCTAAAGGTACATGAACTTTTGGCATTTGAGGAGGAAGTGGAAGGTGCTGAGAATCTCAAAAATTCACTGTTAATATAATGCTTGGAAAAACATTTTGGAAAGTATCCAGCAAACATATTTTGTATGAAGAGAAATGAGACTCTGTTTTATCATTTGCTATCAACAATACACAAATACATGGATGCCCCCTTGAGAAACACCCAGAGACAAACATATGAATTATGCAAATTTTTTTTTTTTTTTAAAGTATTTCCAGGCATACATATCAAATAGGGTATTTGTTAGCAAGTATCCTTGAACGAGCATGCACAATATTTAAACAAATTGAATGGTAAAACAGAGTAAATTAGACTGCGCACCTCTAATTCCCTGCATGGTACAGATTGTGTGCATTGTCTAATCTGCACGCATTATAATCAAGAGTGCTGACTGTAAAGGCCCAAGGCATGAGATATCACAAATACCTCCAGAATCAATTACAGCCATGTTTTCTCAACAGACATAAGATTCTCAAACCAGAGCTCAACATTAACTTTAAATGATTAGTTTGCTGAACTTGTTTTTCTCACCTACCCCATTGTTAATATTAATGCTCATGATCTAGCATGTGACATAACCATCATGCCGCACTTCCAGTTTCAGTTTGTGTGCATATTTAAAGGTATATTAAAGTTATGTCAATGATATATACAGGGCTCCACACTAACATTTTTAGTTAGGGGGTCTGGAATGAACTTTTTACAGACTGTATGCATGAGCCCTATCTAAAAACTTCAAATTGGGGAGTCCAGAGTTAGATTTCGGGCGCCAATGTGTCCCAGGCACCTAACATTGTCAAGCCTTGTTATATATATAATATATGTAGAGAGAGAGAGAGAGAGAGAGAGGGGGGGGAACCTTCTGGTTTGTGACAGCTTGATTTATAGCAATCTGAATCATATTCATAACAATGCCTGGAACGCCGTTAAATAGCGGAAGAAAACAGGGAGTTATGAAATACTCCCTGAAGAAAAAGGTGAAAAGTTCACCCAGGACTTTTAGACATGTGACCTAAGATTAAAGTTAACTCTTCTGATTCTATTTAGATCAACATTAAATGGATGTTTAGTTCACCTTAAAGACAGTGATTGTTCATAAACCTGGGCCCTTATTTCATAAATCTTGCTGTTAATAACAACTGCTATGTAGCAATGCAACCAAGCAAGAAGTAGTTTTACAACAAATTAAACATTGCAAGGGCCCCACCTTCCATTTGAAGCATACATTTGCTCTAGGCTTTATTTCATTAAATACAGAGTTAGGTAATGCGTTAGGATTAGTGTTTGCTCCATGGTTGAAATTAGGAATACAGATACTGTAGAAAATTAATGTAAGGCAATAGGCGTAACGGCATGTGTTGAACAACTGGGTCTTACATCAAGGGGAAAGTGAGCACCTTTGAGGAGCAATGCTCTTAAAATATATACGTACCATTAGATGAAATGCAAGAGAGCAAAGCAACCGAGCAAGAAATACTTTTGCTTATAATACAAAGCAAAGAAAATAATTACAAGAAACTGCACAAGAATGAGAGGATCTTATAAATCTTCAATTTGAAACATTATATCTTTACCCGAGTCTGCAAGCCATTGCTGTGCTCTGAGAACTCTTTCTTTAGATGTGACATGTCTTGAACTGTCCTTCGTCTCCTCAAGAGTATCAATGTAGGCCTCGTGACGTGCTATCGATTCCTGGAAGGAGTAGAAAAGATGGTAGTAAAGGTCTTTGTAGAGCATTAAAGGTACTATGTCCCATTTGCAGGCCCAAAAATGAAAAGCTTAAATTCCAACAGCATTTGAAAGTAAGTACTAATTTAGAACTTCCCTAAAAAAAGGGGGGCTTGAAAATGTCTTAAAGTGGAAAAATAACGACTATTAGTTGTCAAATCGACTTAAGAGCTACAGAGCCAGTAAGTAATAGTCTGATTTTCAGACCATTGTACCGAATGGTGGTACGTTTTATGCTGCGCAACGAATTCCTTCCAGTTTAATTTTGGCCATTACAAGAAGTGGGTTATTGATGTAGACAAATGCTCATGTACCCTTTACAGCTCATGTTATGTATGTTATTACCAAAGAAGAAAAAAAGCCAGTCAGTCACTCTAGAAAGTAAACAGGTTTTCCTGCATAATTTGAACATTAGGACACTGCTAACGTTTAAATTTCACAGATAGGACATAGTATCTTTAAGGATTGTTAAGTCATTGTACTTTTGATTATTGATATTCGAGTGACTTAAAGTTTTATGGTGTTCTAAATAATATTATACGATTATGATTTATGAGTAATGGTGCTTGCATGGACATATTTTTCACAAGTGCAGGCTCGGTAAACTGAGTTGAACTTATATGAGAAAAAAATTATACTGGTATCAAACTTCAACTGATCTGGTATTACAGATCGTCTAGAGAGGTAGAGAGGGCATTTCAAAGCAAAGGCCCTGCATGAGCAAAGAAAGTCCCCCTCCCCCACCCAACTTCATATTCAGCTTGGGAAGAAAAAGTAATCCTGACAAAAGGTTATAGAATACATATCCGATCATGGTATTCAACCTGTAATCCCTCCTACTGCAAACAAAGTGTGTGTAAGGAAATTCATGTACACAATTGATTAATCAGATCGGCAATTGATTTTAAAAGACATGTGAGCAAGAAAAATGCATGAGTACTGAGCAATTAAGCTCTAGAAAACTGAAAAAGAGCTTGGTGTAAAAATTAAAAAAACAACAACAGTATGTGTCGGTCGGAAATTTCCTATTTTCTACAGTAAGCTAAATACATAAAGAAAGCTTTTGAGGAGGAAAAATGAAAACACTATTTTTACACTGCTTTACATGTATGAATATACATGTAATGCCTGCATGAAAAAAACAAGCAAACACACCAATAAAAAGTAAACGGAAACATACATGTACATGTATATCATGACATGAGATTTAAAAAAAAAAAAAATTATAATTGAAAAAGGGAGTTCATGATGACTTTCTCTCATTAAAAAAGGAAAACACTGTCATATATAGTGTTATCCTTGTACAGTAATCCTTGTGATATGCTGCAAAGAGAGATTTATAATAATGACATGCGCAAACAGTAACCATGAAAGTCTATCAAAGCCTTAGAAAGATCAACGTCATGCATAAAAGCATAAAAAACAGCTCCGCAACGAAGACACTGTAGTGCTAATGCCCGGCATCGCACGCCACGGGAAATATCGACGCATGATCCTTAATTCTAATGAGAAACTTGCCTTCTCAAGGCTTAATGGATACAGAAGAAAAGACAAACCCAATCTGACATATTTCTCCAATCTAATTGAGCATAATTTAATCAGCAGTCCTACCCCTGCCATATGTATCATCAATCCACCACCTATGAAGCTCTATATCGTTTCCCCCTAGAAGGCAATATGAGAAATGCATGTTTTGAGGAGGATTTTTTTTGAGGGGGGAGTGATATTTATGACAATGCCATGGCAAGTGTGATTGACATGAGGATTGTATTGCTGTTCTTTGACGCATACAAGTACGCTACAGACAAAATTTGCTCCGAAGCTAATTGGATACATTGACCATTGAACAGAGAGGAGAAATATTGATGAAATGCCTTCCTTAGAAAGATACCGGTAAGCCATGCCGGGGATTGAACCCACAACCTTCACATCTCCAGCAATGTGATTACAAAGCAGAAAAACATGGCAACTCTTATTGTCTACAACTTTGTTGGGCCATCGGAGCTCAATAGACTCAATGAAGGAAAAAGGAAGCCTTGCACTTCTAGTGCTTTTCTTTTAACTCACAGACTTGTAGACATGAGATGACATTAAATGAGATAGTCAATCAGGAGTGATGTAAGCAGTGTGTTGCTGGTTTTCTTGAACCAGACCATCCAATTATTTTCTTTTTTTCCTCTGAATGTTTCTTATTTCTTAAGAAGTCAGAAGGTCCCTAAACAAAAAGAGGAACAACATACAAAATTGTCTTTTTAAAGCCAGAAGGGCATTAACACTGTGTCTTAAAGTTTACATCCTTCTGGCTCCAAACAGACAGTTTAATCATACACAAGCAGCATATTTGAATTACATTTTATGGATTACTAGTTTATATGGCATGCCCTATTTTACTTTCCTTGATCATTTCTACTTCAAGATCAAGTTTATTAAGTTACATTCTTCAAAGTGTTGTTCATACTCACAAGTATTTATGATATGGTATGTATGATAACAGAAATAACAGTTTCTTTTGTCAACTGTCTTTAAGATCGTTTTCCAACTCAAGTTTCTGATAATGGTCTGATAATACATCTACATCTACTGCAGATAAGCTACAACAATCAGGAGTTCCAATACCATTAAGTTCCGGGCATTTCAGGAGCTTTTCATGTACACACTCCTGTAGAAAAACCGTCGCTGTTTTCACGAAGTGACGGTAGTGAAAAAAAATTGCATTCACTTTGCGTTACGATTTTCCTCACTACCGTCACTTCGTGAAAACAAGGACGAAACACCATAACTGGTTATAAAGAGGTGGATTTGTCCGGGTACTCTCACATTCTCAGTTTGATAAAAAAGTTTCTGTTAAATAGTGTAAGCATAAGTCACTGGACACAACGCATCATTACATGTACGTGCGGTGCCTCCATTTAACGTCCAATCCGAGGGACAGAGTGTTTTTCATTTAACATCGCCTGCGTCTATGAAACAAGGGGAGGGGTACGTTAACACACAACGCAGGCTTCAGTCATCTGCCTGGGTGGGATTCGAACCCAAGATCTTTGGTTTGACAGGCAGTCTGTTACATGTTCTGCATTCTGTAGAAACAACAAACTTGTTTAATTCCATTGGCGTTTACTTTCCTGGTCGATTCAGGGTAGACAAAAATGACATTTTCTGGGTCTCTTGTAGAAACATGCTGAATATTACACTGTATATACAGTATCACCATTTCCTTTGTCGTTGGTTTATTATCAAAATTTGTAAACTGATATTTAATTTTGCCCATTCCCAAGTCCTCTACAGAGGTTGCACTTTGTAAATGTTTGCATATCTTGAATATTGTTGGAATGAATCCACATGACATACCCACAGAAAGCCACAGTTTAAATACAGAATGAATATTTACAGTCCATAAACAGGTTGAATGAAAGAATAGTTAGAAACCAGTCTATGTCCGCACAGATATTGTTAGTGTATACAGACACAGTATTCCAATGTGTTACGGAAACAACAAATTAATATCATTATCAAGTGAATGGCCAATGTAACCAGTGAGAAAGGAAGGGATTTTCCCTAATTTGCCCACTTCATCGATTTGGTCTTTGATGAGTTATAACACGAGAGATCAAACCTTTGTGGTGTGATCTCTATCTCCTGCTCTTTCATGACAAGACTACACACAGATACAGGTAAGTGTAAATTGTGCCAATATACAACTCACTCTACTTTTGTCAAAATAGCAGTAGTTGCTTGGATAAACGAAGAATAAAACCTTGAAGTAGCGTAAATCTCTGTGTATAAGTCAGGTATAAAAAAAGTTTAAGTTTCGATTTATGCCCTGCCACCTGGCGCTATGCCTGGCAAATTTCTCCCAGCTCAGTAATCGGTGTGTTGACTCACCACTCAGAAACTAGAACAACTCTCAAATTTGTCTGTCATCTTGGTTTTAAAGTAATCTTTCTGATAGATCTCAATCTGTAGTTTATAATAATTCCTCCAATTTTTCTTCTATACACACGGCATACCACAATGTTCTATCCTAGGTCCTCTACTGTTTTTTAATCTACCACATTAATGATCTTACACATGGGTTTTTAACACAGACCTGGCTTGCTGCCGACAGAGTCGGCAAAAAATAAAAAAAATAAAAAATAGAGGTGCGTCTTATACACAGAGATTTACGGTAATAATCATTAAAAAGCACAACATATCAGGCCTGCAACATACAGTTAAAAAAGAACTAATTATTCATACTCTGAGCAAATTTTTTAATTTGTTAAGTATGTGAAAACTGATTTCTCCTGATTGATGTTTCTTGAGAATGTTAAACATATATCAAAACGTACATCTAAAAATATTCAACAAAGGCCCTAATTCAACCAGTCCACCTTTCAGTTTCACTCTTGAGTTACTGAAAAATACACACAACATTTTTTTTCTTCACACAAGGGGTATGAATAATTTAGTTGTTAAGAATACATGTATAGCGCATCATAACATGATTCAAGTTCTTCACATTGCAGCACCTCATTACACATGACAAATAAGTTCTTAGTGTACAAGTTACAAGCATTTACTTGAGCAGGAGGTACAATGTAGTTTGATAAATTTATCCTAATAAGCCTACAGCGCTGCAACATGCTAGAGAGTAGGGAGGACCTCTTTAATTTGAAATTTAAGGTTGGGGAGATTTGGGGGTCCTTTCAAGGGTCTCGCTCATTTGCAAGGGGCCCACCCAGCCCTGCCTGGCCAAGCCCTGGCCAAGCTCTGGCAAGTTAATACACATCTCATGTCTTGCTTGATTGTGATGAGGCCCTACTCTGTAACACAGTTCATTTCGAAGGAGACTTTCTCTGTATGCTATTCCATATAGATGTTCACATACAGATTTACAGAGCACTACATATCGTCCTTGTTTTTCACGAAGTGACGGTAGTGAGGAAAATCGTAACGCAAAGTGAATGCATTTTTTTTTCACTACC